CCTCGGAGCAGAGGGCTCACGGCTACAGGCAGGACCAGCCTCGGAGCAGAGGGCTCACGGCTACAGGCAGGACCAGCCTCGGAGCAGAGGGCTCATGGCTACAGGTGGGACCAGCCTCGGAGCACAGGGGTCATGGTGAGGCTCTGTGGAGTTGCGGTTGTTCCTGTCCTGGAGACACGCCCTTCCCTGCATGTAGTTGTCACTACCTGCCTGTCATCTGTAATTTCTCCATCGGTCCCTGAGGCTGGTGGGAAAAGTTCAGAAGATAAGAATCACCGCTAACAGTTGAAATTTTGTGGTGAAGGGAACATAGATGTCCATTAAGTAAGCCGGAAAAGGGGCGTTCCCACCAACTCCAGGAGCGGCATTTTAACCGAGACTCAAGACGGGAGTGCATGAGTCGAGAAGGCCACTGATCCGTGGCCAAGGGCTGCTGCGTGGCGGGACTCTCTAGCCGTCCATGGAAAATGTAGCCGCTTAGCTCCCCGGCTTTGTGACGGCAGCTGGGCAGGGCCTGCCCGTCCCCTCTCCGGCAGATCGCAGTGTCAGGGGTCCACTCGCCAATTCCACGCGTGTCCACACGGCAGTTTCATGTGCGCTGACACGGTGCACGTGTTCCCGACGGAGGCAGCCTCGCAGGGAGTTGAGGGGGTGAGTCCTGAGACCCGCCCCCCGAGACTCGCCTCTAGAGAGGCCCTCTGGCTTCCAGCAAACTCTTTCTACCGGAGGCGTGGGCTTGCTCACAGGCGGCCTCTCGTTGCTTCTGGAATCTGGGAGCTCAGCTCCGTGGCATGGTTCTATGCCTTCTGGCTGGTTAGACTTCCCTGGAGCCGGTCCCCGGGCCTCGGACCCCTCCTGTCCCTGCAGCAGGCCCTTCTCCTGCTGTGGTGGGGGCGGGGCTGCTTCTTCCCGCCCACCTGGCAGCCCAGGAGCCACCGCCCACCTGCCCACCGTATGGCCAGAGGACATGGTGGTGTAGGACTCAGCTGTCTCAGTGGAGTGGTTGAGACGTCAACTCTGCGGCTTCGTGCAGAAATTCCTGGCAAATTCCTGTGGCTTCCCGCACAGTCTGGACACCACCCTGTCCACAGCCAACCCAGAGAGTTGTGGTGCCGGGAATAAACACACATTTGCAGGAGCCACTGGAGAGGGCCAGCGTGCGTCCTGAGATGAGGAGAGGTGGACGCCACGGCTCCTCCTTGGCCGTCGGGCCACAGGCCTCCTGGAAGGCACGGCATCGTCCACATGACTTTCAACAGGACAGGTGGACAGGTGGCCGGCACTCTGGCCACAGTGCGGCTCTGCAGGCTGACCTTCGGTCTTCCGGGACCTGTGCTCTGGGGCTGCTGTGACCTCGTGGAGTCCCAGCTGGTTGGGCGTCTGGGCATCATGGCCGGGAGCTCGTCCCTTTCTTTTGGGGGCCCACTGTGCACCCAGCCCTTGGATACTAGCAGCCGTGTCTCTGCCCTCGGATGTGCCTCACCGTGGGGCAAGGCCGGCACAGACGTGCACAGAGCCCTGGGGGCTCACCTGGATGCAGGACACTGACAACAGGCCTGGGGGCCCAGCCTCGCCCAGCACCAGGGGACCCCTCCCCAAGGTCGGACAGCATCAGCCCCTCACCCCACCCGTGCTTCTGAAATTGTGAATGGCCCCACTGGACCCCACTCGACCTAAGGGTGAGCCTAGGGTCCCAGCTAATCCACCTCTGGGAGCCACCAGGCCACTGTGTGGGAAATGCCTCCTGGAGAAGGGAGAAGGGCCAGCCTGAGGACCCTGTGAGGGGATGGGCGCTCTGAGTGTGTTTTGGGGGTGAGTGGCTGACATTCGCCTCA